TAACGAGAATAGCAACTTAGATCTATCCTCTATTAAAAAAACATGTGACATTTTCAATAAATCTTCAACTGACTTGTCTAAAATTTGCTCTAAATCAAAAATGAAAATATGTAAATCATTTCTGTGATATTTCTAGGATGGTTAATAGCAATTTTATTTCTCTTAGTAAAAGTAAAAAACATTCAGAAATTTCTGAAAAAATCTTTCAGTCTCCTCTTAGAATTTGGTTATGCAAATTACATTTTCAGCTCAGAATTTTATCTCAACTAACATAGTTTACAGTCAAGCCTGTCTCATTTGACCTCAAGCTCAATGTGCTTTTTAAAACTGCAAACAAAATCAATACTTCTCATTCCATTCCTTATAAGGAGAATGTTTACAAGCTCACGATTTTCAGGCTGTATAACTGACAACAGACAACTGTCCTGATCAGAGGATGTTTCTAACCACAGAAATGTCAAGACTTCACACCTCCTACTGAAATTCTTGATGTTTTCTGACAGAGGAGAGGAGTGTGAACAGTAAAATATCATGCACATGGTTTTTCAATTCTTATTCTCGTTTCATTTTGTAAAAAAATTTGTAACTGTAGTCTCCAATTAAAGTGCATATCTATCAAGTTTATGCATGATGGTTAGAAAGAAAGAAAAACAACCATGATTTACAATGATAAAAACTTAGGTTGACAAGAACCCTTTATTAGCTGGTGTTTTACAAGACCTATTGGCATTGATCTTTCCTGGTTTATCAGGTCTAAGTCTAGCAAAGGGGCAGAGTTGCTTATCTTGTGTCTTTGATATTGTGTCTTCTTGCATTGTGTCTTTATGATAAATTACCCTGCTAGTGACTTGTACTGCAGACAACCAAATGCCTTTTTGAACTACAGTCACTACTGTCATGTTCAAGGCAATTCTAGTCGTAAAATGTACTATCGTTGTGCACACAATAAGGCTTACCAAAACATAATTTAGGGTTTCTACAGTCCTCCACTCTCTTGCTTCTGATGACTTTGTGCATGAACCATTTGAACAGTCCAATGTATAATGTATATGTAAATAAAGTACTAAAGTACTGATATATTTACAGTTAGTAGAGTTTTTAGTAGAGATGGTGTACCAATATGATTTATTACATAGATAAACAATAAACAAATATATAAACAATATTTATGATACAAGTGTTTATATACTGGTAGTAATATAGGTGAATATTCATGTAGTTCGTTGATATACTGAAGGGAACATGCAATGAAAGTTTTTACAGTGTACTTTCTATGTAGTATTTTGATATGAAAGACTGGGAATGCCATGCAGTGTGAAATAAAGGAAATGAAACAGTGAAAAAATTTAATACTCTCCTTTGATTTACAACGTTTTGTAGCACATAGTCCTAAATTGTGTGCTTGTGCTTTACTGGCTTTCCTTTTTAATTCCCAGCTCTAGCAAGTGAGGATCTATCATAATGGCTTACTCAGCACTAATGTTCTAGAAGATTTTTATGAGTGTTCCATGATGAAAACTGCACCCAAAACTATTTTAACTTGATATTAAACAAGAATATCACCTGGCCTATACCACCATTCTTATCTTCATATATAAATTGTCTTCTGACTCCAAAACTGTTTCATCTTTTAATATCTTCCTCCACCCAATACAAGCTGTAAATCATAGTCTAGGACATGACTAACTTCTGCTGAAAGATGGATTAAGGTCGAAGTGACCACTTTCTCTGGCAAAGGATGACAGTCTAATTAGGGTATACGTCAGCCAGAGCATGCTTACCCTTCCTAGTTCGCACTGTTTATACTAGCTGTATATCATTGTCTAAGTTAATGTCTTGGAAAAGACCATCTTCTTCTGAAAGATGGATTTAGTTTGCAGCAGCTGTTTTTTTTCAATAAAGAGATTTGTCTTAATAGATATGTTGCTTACTAATCCTCTTCCCAATCTGTATTCTGGTAGAAAACCATAAGTTTGAAAATGACTAACTTTTGTTGAAAGATGGATGTAAGGTTTCAATGACTCTTTCCTCTGGCATAGGATCAAGCTATAATTAATATGGATAAATTTACCACTATACTGTTCAATTGCCAATTTTTTTTTATAATCCTGGGCAATAAGTCACAAACAGATCATAATATTGCTAGTGTGGAAACCAGGTCAGATACATCAATACACGCAAGCATACCAAATTGACACATCAATCTAAAGGTAAAACCTGACCATGTGTGCAGGTGGCATAAGCAAAACCTAACAAAAAAAGGGAGTTTGTTTCAGCAGATGTTCTCCCCTACCCTAAACATTAAACATTGGGATCCTCATAATACCTGACCACACACACACATACAAAATTAAAGTTTAAAATAGAAATTGATAAGCTATCAAAGTTTTAAATAATTGAAATATTTCAGTGTTTTGTCAAGTTGTTATCTTTATTACAGTATGATTAAGGTAAAAAATTTCCTTATCTTTTTATGACCAAACTTCTTGATAATTATATCAAACCACAAACCTAATTTGGTTGTATCATTATTATCTGGCTACTTCATTTGGATGCATGTGACTGGGCATGAATTTTTTTTTACATGATTTTAGATAATTCTTATTTTTGCTATATTTAATGATTGGATTGTATTTCATGGTTCTTAATCTGGTTGTATTTCATGATTTTTCTATGTTTGTATTATGAAAAAAACAACAGAATGAATAAAAAAAGTAAAAATACATAACAACAAACTTGTAAGTTTCTATTTGGATGTGAGATATATAACCAAATCCTATTATTCATGAATGAATCATACAACTAGTAATTATATGAATGAATATATAAATGAAAATGAAACAAACAAACTGATGAGTGCAATGCATGATAAAATTCAGTCATTAAAACAATGAATCAATGATATAATGTAAAAATGTATGAATAATTGAATAATATAAGTATAATTGAAATGCATGGTCAAATTCTGTCATGAATAGATGAACAAAAAAAGTATGATTGAAATGCATGATTATATTCTGTTCTGGATAAATGAATGGTATAATGTAAAAATATATGAATAAATAAATAAGATAATGAATGAAAAGGTATGAATGATTGAAAAACTGAATGGTTAATCAAACCATTTGAAAGGGAAATAAATGAATTAGATTTAGATGAATGAATGAATGAATGAATGATAGCAAACGAGAAGAAAATGATAACTGTAAAATGAATGAAATGCATGATATATTCAGACATGAACAAAAAATAAATGAGTGGGAAAATCAATGGATGATCTGCATGTAGCAAATGTCAAACTATCGGGGAAGAAAAATGAATGTATGAAGAAAGAAATGAATAGATGAATGAATAATACAAGTCATGAATGAACGAATGAACAAATGAATGAATAGCTGATGAATAATGTAAGTCATGAATGAATGAATAAAAGTTCTATATGAAAGAAAATGACAGAGCGACCTAGTAGAAGGATTGTAAGTGAGGTGGCGCGTGTCCTGAACGCTAATCTCAGAATGAAACATAAATAAAACACTATAGGAATGTTAAACTACCCACACATCACATACTGAGCTAGATTCAGGTCTATTCAGGTCGGCAAACCTTGATTATAAGGTGACACTGGATATATTTAGGAGTATGAGTTATAATGTTTGGAATTCCCTAAAATTACGTCAGGATTCCCCCACTACTATTATCACGTGTGATGAAATCTGGTATAAAATTGTAGCAATGTGGATGAATTATCAGTATGATTTAGTTTGTCCAGTGATATAAACTAGACAGGATTCAACAATAGTCTTGTCATGATGAATAACATAACATAATACCAACATCGCAAATTTTTACTGCAACAGGATTAGTGTTGTTGCTATTTCATTCGGAAATCTCATTCAGGAAATTTTGTGTCGTTACAGAAGGGATATATATATAAAACATTTGTCATTCATTCAACAGTTATAAGAAATTTATTTGAGAATCAGTTAACAAGGTAATATATAAAATGAAATAAAAGCCATTTGTTTTTTGGTTGAATATTAAGAATTATATTTAAAGAATTTTTATATCTTTATTAAGAAATGCTAAAAGATATTCTATATTATGCTTATAAAATTAGTAAGTTATATATACTATCAAATTGTTACAAATTTTATACATTCTCTTGCTGTTTGCGCAGAATTCATAAATAGAAAACCACAAATTTGTAATTCATTATTCTTTAAAGACAAGAATTTATTTTCCTATTTATTTATTTTCGCCTTAATAAAACCACTTGAGTTTAGACTGTCTATAGTTTGAAATAGGACTCTTATCTATCTATTTATTTATTTATTAAATGTAGGACTATGAAATTTATCTCTATTATAATATAAAGTACAAAGCTTTTATGTCTCAACTATTTACAAGGGATGTTAAGTTGACCATATTTACCAGTCAGGTAGAACTAGAGCTTTAAATGACAGACTTTGATATTTTGTCTCATGACAGAACATCTTTTCAAAATTAGGAACAGATTACTTGAGTTAGAAACTAAATTTAGAGATTTTGAATCTGAACTTTTTATAGACTTTTCAGAAAAAAATAAAATTTCGTCTTTTAGAGAAAAAAATGTGCCAAGGATTCTAATCCTCAACGCAAAGTTCTTATTATAGTTTCTGTAATATTCTGTTATGTTTTTTTTCAAATTAAATCAGTAACAAATTCGTTAATGCTTTTTAAGAGATTAGGTATATTAGGATAGGATCTGCATCAAGGCTAGAGATGTATGATGCCATGGCCTATGCAGTTGAGAGTCAGCACAATTTTATCTTTAAGCTTATAGTTATACTTTTTAGAAACCGTAGTTAGAAAATAGGTGATGTGGAAAATATATTCATTGAAAATAAAAGAAATAAAAAAGTATGACTGTAGGCTTAAGATTTAAGTAGTAGTAAACATGTTTTCAAGGTGATATTGATTTAAAGTGCTATTTTTTTTATAATATTTTTATTTATTTTTACAGCAGAAAAATCCATTCAATTTTAAAGTGACAAAAACAAAAGTTATAAACTGTATCAATATATTCACTGTGACTATTGAGTGTGAAAAATACTTAAAGATAACTGTATTGATCTTAAAATTATAATCGCGACCTTGGATAGTGCCTTTAATTTATTGCAAACCAGCCAATTGAAAAGTACTAGTGACCATATTAAATTATCGTGACCTTGACCATTGCTTTCCTGCATAAAACTAGTCGAAAATTATAGTGATAATAACTGTTTTGATCAAGATATTACAATCGCAACCTTGGCTAGTGCTTTTCTGAATAACAGCAAATTGAAAAATACAGTGATAATAGCTGTGTTGATCGAGGCATTACAATCGAGACCTTTGCCAGTGCTTGTATAACAGCAATTTGAAAAATAGTGTTAATAGCTGTATTGATCTATTACACAATATTTCAATCGCGACCTTGGTCAGTGTTTTTACGGCCTCAAACATTGAACATAACAGCAAGTTAAGAAATACATTGATAATAGCTGTATTGATCTAGGTTGTGTCAAGTTGTGTAAAAGTTGGAAGATAAGAAATTTGAACTGTGTCAGTGAGTGTAGCTTGTAATAATAACTTATAATGGAGTTACGCTACCTGTGTCTAACTGTGATATTTCTATTATTTATTAATATATCCTGCGTTGTGTGTAAAAATATTTTATTACCTGATGATGTCAATGGTGAGTTTCTTATTTTTAATATTATTAATGAGATGATTGTTTCTGTTGGAGGGTGAATTAGTTTTATGAAAATTTTTTGTGATAAGCTATGTAGGGTCTCAATCAAATCATCACTATTATTCTGGTCTAATGATATATAAAATGGTTGTTTTGGGGGCAGAAAATGTCCACACTCTGCTAAGTTTTGGCTCCTGAGCATATCATTCAATCATGTTATATGCTGATGACTTGTCAATGTTTGCACATCAATTAAAACTTAATCTGTCATTATCTTTGTCAATATTGAGCTAGATTGTCGTCTGCTAGGCCTTCCAGGTTTCTTGATAGCAATCCCTAGAAGAGATCCTAGTGGCACAAACACAAAGTGGAACTAAATAACTAAATAACATTTTTTAGGAGGGTCACTTTTTTTGGGCCACCCACACTACATGTATATCGATTTATAGGAAATGGATTTCCTTTTTTTTTATAAAAAATCCTAATATCTTGGTCATGTTTGCCATGCCCATCGACTCCAAGTCTTATCCTTATCCTTATAAGGTGAATTGTAAGCCTACCACTGTATTCATGCCTCTCCTAGTGGGGTAATGGGTTATCCAGATTTTATTAGTTTATAAAAAGGATATAATGAATATGAGTCAGTTAACCTGATTTAAAACTGTTATAATAATATTTACCTTAAATGGTTATCATAATAGAATTAAACTTACTGGTGTATCTGATTAAACTCGATATTGTCTGTTTTTACAACTGTCACCTAAATCATATTGGTATAAATTCAATGGACTAATTCACCGGTCATGTACCGTGCAAGCTCTAGTACTCAATACATCAATTCTAGAGTGATATAGAAATACTACTGTTAAAATAGTACTCAATACATCAATTCTAGAGTGATATAGATATACCACTGTTAAAATAGTGCTCAATATATCAATTGTAGATCAATATAGAAATACCACTGTTCCAAAAGTGCTCAATACACCAATTGTAGAGAGATATAAAAATACCACTGTTAAAATAGTGCTCAATACATCAATTGTAGAGTGATATAGAAATACCACTGTTAAAATAGTGCTTCATACATCAATTGTAGAGCGATATAGAAATACCACTGTTAAAATAGTGCTCAATACACCAATTGTAGAGAGATATAAAAATACCACTGTTAAAATAGTGCTCAATACATCAATTGAAGAGTGATATAGAAATACCACTGTTAAAATAGTGCTTCATACATCAATTGTAGAGCGATATAGAAATACCACTGTTAAAATAGTGCTCAATACATCAATAGTAGAGTGATATAGAAATACCACTGTTAGAATAGTGCTCAATACATCAATAGTAGAGTGATATAGAAATACCACTGTTAAAATAGTGCTCAATACATCAATTGTAGAGTGGTATAGAAATACCACTGTTAAAATAGTGCTCAATACATCAATAGTAGAGTGATATAGAAATACCACTGTTAAAATAGTGCTTAATACATCAATTGTAGAGGATATAGAAATACCACTGTTAAAATAGTGCTTAATACATTAATTGTAGAGATATAGAAATACCACTGTTAAAATAGTGCTCAATACATTAATAGTAGAGTGATATAGAAATGTTAAAATCGAACCTGTTTAATATTTTTATTATTAATTTATATAAAAACCGACTTGGAAGTACTAATTTGACAGTAATGTTTCATACATGCTCTAGGTTACAGACTAAATACAAAGTTGATTTAACCTCCAAAATGTTCCAATATGATATCAAGACTTCAGAATTTTATAGATACCACAATATTTACTTAGGGTACCTGTTCAGATCCAGAATGGTGAATCAAATCTCTGATTTTTTAGCATTTGCCTCCTAGAAAACTAATTGGCACCCCCACTTTATTTTTGACAAATTAAGAGATATGTTTTTTATACGATTTGCCCTAAAATATGTGTCAGAATACACCAAATCAATTTAATTTTTCCAAAATTTTCTTGGGAGAGCGCTGTCAAACGCTCCATGAGAGGCTCGCGACTCAGACTGACAGTCTTGACAATTTTGGTATTTTCAATTCAACCCTTCATCTTGATTAACTTATAGAAAATGGTAGAACTTGACATAACAGTGCAAACAACTAATGTGTGTATGTAATATATTTTAGACCTCATTTCTAAAACATAAAATGTCAAATGTGATAATATTACTAGTCATTTTGGAGACTTGTTAACTAATTAATCATAATTAATGATATCATAATCACAATAAAGTAAGATATTTTATTTATGAAGATGTTAAATTTCCATAATTACAATAAGATTAATGCTCCTGTGCACATGTCTTTAAACAAATGTTCTAAACTTGTCTCAAAATGTAGACATGTTAATAAGTTCTACTTGTCCAACTTTACCAGGGACGCAGGCTGAAATAGGTCTGTTGTCTGAAGCTCGCATAGCGTGATATACAAGTACCTGTAGTTTAATGTGCATAATTTCAAAATTCAGGAGCTGCTATGCCTGATATAAGTTTATAAATGACATATGATATTGGTGATATGGTAATTGATATGATAGGAGAGAGTTAAATGGTGTTTAAATAATGATAATACATGTTTGTAAATGACAATTATACATTAAACCATTAAATTTATTGCAACATGATAATCAAAAAGCTATTGTGCATGACAACAAAGTTATTCTGTCACATGCCTGACTTAATTATTTGGCTCCATTTACCAGTCATGTCTGACTGCAGCTAAAAATGCAAAATGTGATTTGCAAATGAATATATTATTAATCAGAATGTGCAAAGTTTAAAAAATTCGTAATTTTCATTTCATGTAAATTTGATTTAAAATGCAGATTTTGCATTTAAACAGGTTAATCTACATATCTGTATCAATTTGTCCTGAAGAAATTCTGCTTAAAATATAAAATATTATTATCTTACTTTTCATGACTATAGTTAATCTTCCTGCTCCTGTCTTTTGGAATCATTCAAAATAGAATTAAGCAATATTTTAAAAAACAAAATACATTTCAAAATTTTGCCTAAAATAAAAGATTCCTGTTTTTTATCATTCCAGCGTTAAGTTATCGTGTCTGCACCAATGATGATATACCCACCATGCAGACAGAGTGTGAAAAAGAAAATAAAGCTTTTTCTCGGGCCAACAGAAATGATAATCACACAGAAATATGTCGGTAAGTGCAATTTTTATTTTATAAAATAGTAGTTGATGGGGTAATGATTGGACACTGACAGTTCTCTATATTACGTTGAAGATGTCAGCTGCCTTCTCTAACTCTCTAACCTTAGTCTCAGAAACAGGAATTTTTACCTCACTGTTGAAATTTGAGCATTTAGATCCATGTGTGTCCAGAATTTTCCATGTTTAAAGTTAAAAAGAAAAGTCGTCTTTTCTTGAGACACTACCATATATAGAAAAGACAAGAATTTCTTAGTTTGAGATATTTTTGAAGGAATGATGTGGTTTTCGTACATTTCTAATACTTATGAAAACTATTTACAAATATTCAAAACTCAAATCATCTCCCCAAAATGGCGCATCTGCCCCTTTAAGGCAGACAGCTACCTTCTCTTACTTTCTGACTGTCCAAAAAGATGATAATGAAATTTTATAGGAATCAATGCTAAATTCTGAATTACTTCCTTCTCAATAGCTTGAAGTTACGGCCCTGACTGGACTAGACAATTAATGCCTTGATTATGAAAAATCAACTTGATATCGTCTGTATCATGGTGCCCTTGAAGATATATAAACATTGACAAATATAATAGACTTTGTCTAGGTCAATGAGAAATTCTGCCAAATATGGCATAAACTCTACATGTCTTGTGAATATTATTTGGCACATGGCCATCAGGTCTTTAAACCTGAAACAAGTAAGAAAATTTCTGATTTCACAGCTATTTTCTATCAGGGATAACATTTTTTGGCTTTAGCTCCCTTCTATTAAATTGAAGATTTCATTATTCTTGCACATCGAAAAAAGAATTTGGCTTTGATAGCTCTGAAAGTTAGAAAACATCATCCCTAAATACGCCTCAATTTAGTCGATAAGAAAAAGGTTTGAAAAGCACTGAATATTTTCTTGAACTTCGTGAATCTTTGAATAATGAATGACTCAAAGTGATTAATCCTTTTCTACGTTTTCCGCCCAAAATCAATCTTGTCCATTTATAGCTCGGATTTCTTTAGTCATTGATTGATATTCACTGGTCATTCTGGTCTATTACTGACTATTAATTTATTGTGTAATATTACTGGTCGTTCAAGGCTTTTGATCTTTTGTAATTGATGGACTAGGATTACTAGACGTTCTAGACTATTGGTTTTTATAATCTGGAACGTGCCAGACGGTCATTATAGTATTTGATTAGTGTAAAGTTTCAGGCTGGATAATTTATTGGGACTGGTCATCAGTAAACAAGCTTGATAAGGTTATTCAGAATTATCGGCACCAATTAATGGGATTTTTGATATAATCTTTGATGAGAAATGTCACAAATTGTTTTCATCTTGGAAATGATTTATGTAATAGTCATTGAGATGGAACATAAAACTTTGTGCAGTTTAAAGTTCCTTTAACAGTTGTAAATTAATATAAATTGCAGGTTTTTTTTCAGTTTCATTTCAAAATGTTAAAAAGACACTTTTAAGGAAGCATACATCATTTAAATGATTCTATGAATAACAGTTTATCGACAATCGAAATAAAATTGTTTCAATTTTTTCCCACAGTGAAGTTATAAATAATATGATAGAATAAAATAAATATACTTTAAAGACTGTAAATTCTCACTTGAATTTGATTATTCAAGTCATAGACAATCTTCAGACTTTTTTGACCTTTTATTCCAATTATCAGGAAACGTTTTTCACTCATTTTTCAATATCAAAATAAATGCATGCAAACATTGTGTCAGTTATAAAATCTGAAGATAATCCAACATTTAATTTATTCACTTCAAAGAAATCTCCCAGACATTTTTGACCTGTTAAAACTTTTTATTTCCAATTAGTTTATTTGATTTCTTTCTAATTTAAATGAAATACTGTGTTAAAACTTTATGCAAACAGAAAAAGCAGAAATAAATTCTGAAGTACTCTCTTATATAAATATTTCACATCAAAGATAACCTCCAGACATGAGATTTCCTGTAGAGTAATTTAAAAATAGATGCTTAAATTTAGAAATGTACATGTTTACCAAGACACTTTTGTCAATTTGTTATGTTATCTTTACAATCTTAAAACATACACCAGCTCTGTATTCAGGTTTTTGCAGTATTCAGAAAAAGTTTTGTCTTTAGTTATCTATATGAGACATCTTGCTTAACACAAAGTATTTTCAAAATTGAGATTTTGTTGAATGTTTGTCAGATTTTCTCTCTTGGTGAAGAAGGCATGCTGAACACCTCGTGCCATTCTGAGCCTGACTTTGTCAAAATGGCAACCCTTTCCCTGTGTCCATATAGCTAAACAATATGACATTGTTATTATATATATTAATTGAAATTAGATTTGAAATGATTACAATGATTTGTAATTGATTATAAGTGATGTTTTTATCTCTGTGATTTCAGGATGCTGTATCAAATGTGGTTCTGTGTAGCTCATTCCGTTCCTCAATGTTTCCAAAACTATACATTTTTTTATCAATCTTACTTACATTCGCCTCATAACTGTAAACCTTCGCCTGAACAACTCTTAAAGTTACAGAGTATTCGTAAGGAGGCCTTGGATCGTATTGAGGTCGTTACCATAGAGACATCTACAATACCAACAGATGATTGGACAGATAGTGGTCATGTGACTGATAAAAGTGATCAAGTGACTGTGAAAATGGATGAAGAGGGGGAGGGGGGAAGTGAGGGGTCAAAACAAGGAGGACATTCCAGCCATACAGGAAAAAATACAGGTGAGAAAATTTCTTTTTTGCAATCTTCAGGTTACGTATTCTCGAAACAATCTTAGCGCTAGGATATCCTGGAATTAATGTTAGAAGATAAGAACCTAGGACATCCTAGCGCTAAGATCATTTCGAGAATACACTGCCAGGTTTTTATAGGTGCATTCACTGCATTTTTATTGCTTTACAGTGCAGTGACTATTGGCACTTGTGTGCTTAGACTACAATCTTATCTGGACAGTTTCTTTAGATTAAGATTGAGAGCCAAGTTTTAGAAAATGATTGAGGTATATTTATGTCTAGTGTATATATTGGTATGTCGGGACTAGATCTTGAGACAATAGGAGCCATGTTGAATGAATTCCCTAGGTCGTGATCTCACTAACTAGTTTATTGATTTGATATCGAAACTTAATACAGCTCGCTGCTGAAGTACACACAACTCTCAGATTTTGCTGACTTAGCTTATATTGGTATTTTAAGAAATTATTGGCCTGTATATAGAGTTTGCTGACCTCAGCAAAAAATTAATTTACTGTATATAGTATTATGTTATAGTTAGCTAATTCTGCATTCAAATATCTTAAGCATAAAAGAAATCATATTACTTACAAAATTTCACATGAGAAATTTGTGGTTCTCTTTCAATGAAAATTAGTTTACAGTTCTCATTGGATTGTCTCTTTCAAATTTCTTAGATGTTGAAACTGATTAAATTAAGAGAAATTTATTTAAAAGTTTCAGTCAAGTTGACCTTAAAATTTAAGATTGAATGACCTCAGACAAATTTATCGACTCACACTTTAATTTGACCTCTCTTAAGTTAATATACTGGATAGGGCTCATGGATTTGAAATGGATTCAGACTAATTTATTGATGTGTTCTTGGTCACTTGAAAACTTGTTCGCTGAACTTTTCACAATTTGGTTTGTCCATGATACCATCCTTATTGTGTATCAAGTCAACAAAGCGAGATTCAAACATAAGAAAGTTAGAAGAAAATGAATATTTGAACCATTTAGCCAATCAAGATTAGAACCCAAAACCACCATTTCTTTGATATAACCAAGCGAATGTCATGTTAGTCTTCCAACCCTGTAACTGACAGTGCTACGGAACTCCTCAGCTATGTTGAAACTAAATTAAAATATTTTGACCATTTTAGCTGCCATAACACTCTTACTGATAGTCAGTTGATGATAAGTGTAACGGAGGGAAGAAAAATAAGATTAATTAGGTATCGAGGGATTTTAAACATTTTATTTCATCTAGCTCCAGTACCCTACTTATTCTAAATCATTATTATCATTTAAATCACAGATAGTGGACTGGTTATAACTTCAAGTTAAATTCTACCAAGTTTGATATCTTTTCTTTCAACAGTTCTAGTTTCCAACCTTTTTTAGTACCGTCATAAATTTTGATGATTATGTTTTTATTAAAAAAAAATTCAGAAGACATTGCAATTAAGGGAAATTTTCAGCCTTTATCAACTTCCAAAAGCTCAGTACTTCGCATAGCCAGTCTTCATAGGCCCAATCTGGAGCAGAAAATTTGATATAAAATTACATTCCAGTTTTGGTGTTCTGTATATAATGATAAACCACTTTAAGCTGATAGTAGAATATTGTCTCTAGAGACATACAGTACTATAGTAATTATACTAATAACTCAATTAATCTAATGTCTTTCTTAGTAACTAATCTTACCCCAGATGATATTTTTATTTCCTCTGAAACGATTCTCAGAGATTCTTAGGGCATTTTGATTCTTTCTCTGTTTCTAAACTTCTTAAGGAGGAATTTATAATGAATTTGTTCTTTCCATTAGCTCTGAATTGATGTTGAAGTGATTTTGATTCTATTTGAGATAAATATACAATCATTAGAATTATTTATAATGATGAACAACCCAGTTTGATTTGGTGTTAAATTTAAAGGCGAAGGAAGTCCTAAAATGTTACAACTGTGAATTTAATCTTCAAGACAAATTTTACTTCAATCAATATTTCACATAACTTTGGTGATGTAAATTGTTAATCAACCTTCCTAGAGAATGTATCAATAGTGTACAAACATAGCTGCAGAATAAACTATTACCAATTAATGAAGAACATGTCATGACCCAATTCATCTATTCTTTCCTTCATCATTGCATAATTGATAATCTAATCTACTCAGTAGACTCAGTGACCCAGACATGCAGAATATCAATTAGTATTATGTGGACAAAAAAATGTTACATTGTGCCAAAACATAATGAATAAATACTTGTCCCTGAATATATAACATTCATAAGAGAAAAAAATATGAATAGTTTTCATTTTAAAAGTGTTTGTGCCAATAGTTGATATTGAAAGGGAGTGGATAGAAGTCTTTCATAGACACATCAGTGACAAAATGCCTTATACCCAACATTCAATCAACTTGATTCAAAACTCCTTATATCGTGTCATGCATGGCATTTTTTTTATTATAAATTAAATATTTGACCAAACCTCATTATCCATGCTCATTTACAGCTAGGTCTATAGGAATTATGAGGAAAGAATTGGCCTACATATTTCAGATCACCCTCAGTGATATTCAAAGTAACAACCACGATATCAATCAGATAGCATTCATAGGAACTCAGATGAGATTGAGGTGGATTGTATTTTACATCATAGAGTAAATTTGTGAAGAAGAATTTGTTAATCCATGCTTAGTCCTTTCTTGACTAATACTTGTGTAGGTGTTCATCTTGTTAATGTCATTTGTTTATTTTAATGATTATTTTTTTTACTAATTTCAGGTACTTATTTGAGTATGAACAAAGTTTTAGTGGTGTTTTTGGTTTCCATAGTAACAATATTAGAATTATTCAATCCAAACCACTGATAATGGACAAATATTGAAACAACCGACAGTAGCAGACGGACAAGATGGGGAAATACTTTAATGTGTCTGTCGGGTTTGATAAAAACAGCTTGGAAATTTGGCCCAATAAATTTTGGCACTGACAAAAACAAGCAATGACCAATGAAAAATTAATAATGTGAAATTCAAATTTATACGCTTTAAAATAGAAAACTTTGGTGTTTCCTCGTCTTTAAAACAAAATCCTGCTAGCTTGCCTTGAACACCAAACTTCAGATTATTCCAGAAAAAAAAAACTTTGTTGAAAGAAAGTTGGTAAGATATGGTAATTATCAGTGACTCCTAGCAGATATAAGATATGTTATTTTTTATTGTGTTTCCATAGCAATTACACCAGTGCTTCCACGGTTACGTGATAGTTGATGTGCAAGCTTTGTGAAACCTTCATTTTGAATGATCATCTTCACATAGACAAAGGCTTGAAGTGACAATTTCAAGCAAAAATTTTAAATTTTGCTAAGCAAATATTGTGATCTTTGTGAAATTGTTTTTATTTGTGATTTTTATTTGATAAAATTTGCTTTTGATTTCATTTTATTTTGATATAAATTCAGAATTTCATTTTATCATCACATTATCCTAATTTTCATTGATTCATACATTACATTGTAGAAACATTTGTTTACTGAATTCCATCATCTGATTCTTGTCATTTTTTCATCATTTCTTTAAATGAAATAAAATTTGAGAATTTGAGCAAAAGAATTATTCCTCGACAGAACCAATTGATTAAAATGCAGATCTATATGTTTTGATTGAAATTGAACACTATTTATAGAAGAATTTTTCAGATGGCGAATGTAGAAAACCATACAACATTGAGTTCTGCTTTTTATACGATTGTGGTAGGACATGACTGGCAAATAGAGTCAAAACTGTCAAATCAATAGCCCTGATAGTGTTTTAATATCTGAAGTTAGTTGATTGTTTGTTATGTTCATATTTATCTTAATGTTGTTGGTTTTAAGGAATTTATTTATGTTTTGTTGATGTAAAATAATTATGGTTAAGTTGTATACAATTTGTTTTTATTTGAAATTTACTGCTGACCCACTGTTTAGCTGGTTACTTTCAAAAATGTCAATCCAAAATGTCCAATTTTTTTCTATAAATTTTTTTCTATAGATTTGAGATGCAAGGGTCCAGGTTTAAAATGGCCAATAGTAAAATGAATATCATTATTAAGCTATTCTGTATTAAAAATCATTTCTACATAACATAATTTTATTGTAGCTTTGGAGAAAATTCTTATTGATTTTCCAAGTTTGGGAAAGAGGAACAAAACCTTAAAATAAAATTATTACCATTACATTTGATGGTATATAACTTAACTTTCAACATTCATTTTTGTTAAAATGTTTGTTTTTATGGAAATACTTTAAATAATGTAGCCAAAATGTCAAAGACTGCCAAGAAGGTTACTACTTAATTTATTTATTGTGAATGTAATTGCCTACCATAAATTCAAGACTGCCTTTGAAAAGAAACTTATTTCAAGCGTGTATATTTTGTTTTTAAATGCTGCGGTCATTATGAACTAAAACTTTTCAATGCTATATTTATTTTCCTCAGAATTAATTTTGAAATTTCTTCAAATTATTTATACATTCTTCACATTCCGTAATCAATTTCTTCAGTTTTTTCATTTGATAGATTATTCTTGGAAACATAAAAAAAATCTTTAAAATGTGGCCTAATGTACTTAGTTCCAACATGATAACTTTTTGATTAATTCTAGCAAATTTAGAATTTTATGTAGGTAATTCAACTGTTTTTTTCAATTATAATTTAATATTTTATTTGATCATGGTTGTGACATCCTTCATCTTAAATTATCATCGTATCATTTAACATCATCATGATTATATAATCCTAGTTTAAACTTGGCAAAGATAACCTTTAATATTACTCTACATTGTAGTCTGCTCCATTGCTTTTCAATTCAAATTATTCCCTCACTCTACAATTTAGATTTTACAAGACCTACAATTTCTTAATATCCTAACTTTCTTGCTATTTCGTTACATTTTATGTTGTTCCCTGTCTCCACATATTATGTGGTTGTTATCTGCCTCTACAATTTAGGTTGCTCCCTTCCTTAGCTCTACATCAAAAGATTTACCTAAGTTGTTCCCACATTCCCAGTCCAATAGTGAATATTTGGTTTATCTTTGCCAAGTTTATCAATAATTGAATAAATCCTATAAGATCATTTCATGTGATAATTTTATATCTTAAAATTCAATATTTAATCAAAAATCATTAAAATATCAGAAAAATATATCAAAGCTTTAGTATTTAATTTTTCATGTTTTTGTCCCAATTTATATATTTTATAACTGTTAAAAACTGTTTGTTTATTGTTTGTTTTGTATCTGCTATAAGCCTTGATGTTTATTTTCTATTGTGCTTGACTTTTCTTGTATAGTTCTGCTTTGCGTTCAGTATGTAGTTAATTGGCAGCATGAGATGAACTGTAGTCAGATAGAACTTGGCGTGTTTGAAAAGTCTTGGATTCAGGTAATATATTACATGTAAGGCAGCCCTGATTATTTTTTTCATGCTGAAGATGGCACTACAAGTTTCAAAAGGTCATAATGGAATCACTCAGAAGACAAAACTATGTAAATGTTTCTAAATGCTCTAATAGCATCATTTTTATCTACTATTGTCATGATAAAGTCCAATTTTAATGTAAAAGACTAATTACTAAGAATTAAATAAAAGGTTTTGATAAATAAACTGTCTGTAAATACCTAATCCAAATTTTAAAAACCTCTTGTTTTTACTCTGATTTAAATAACCTAAAATAAGGAATATAATGATAATTTTTTTGAAAGGGACAGATACATCATTTTATTTGACCAATCATACTTTAGTCTCAGAAACGGAAATTGCTAGCTAAGCCAATCAGTAATAGTGTTCACAGCTTACTGTCGAAATTGGTGCATTCGTCATTTTAAGATACTATGTAATATACATGTATAGAAAAGACATATTTAGAAATAGTGAGTAAAATTCATAGTTTTAAGAATATTTAAGGAATTATGCAATTTTTCTAACATTTTTAGAACGTCTGAAGATTATTAACATATATTTAAAGCTAAAATTAATCCCCTTAATGGTGTATCTGTCCCTTTAAATATTTTGAAAACATTTTCAAATATTAATAATTGTTCAGAGTTTGAACTTCTGACTCTTCAGTTACCAAAAAACCTTTCTTACCTTACACTATTTTTATTTTTGTTTTGAACTGTTTTCTGTTGTTTATGTTAACTTGTGTCTGCTCTTGTTTTGTAAATAAAATGCAGTATAAAATCAAAAATTAAAATTTGAAATTATTGAATTTGTTTTCCATTACATGTTACATAAATCTGAGATAGCAGATTCATTTCATCATGAACTGGCAAAATGTCAAAAGATTTGTAGCTCTGAGTCTTGATCATTGGTCAATAACTAGTACACCAGTTAAAAAATTGACCTTTCTAAGGTCTAGGTACTGGTTTCTTTTGCAATTTACAATTTTGACAGACAGTTGAAAAGATTAGGAATTATGTCTGATATAGATAGATCTTTCTTCCATTCTGAAGACTAAAGGGAGATAATATGCCAATTATTTATGAAAAGCCTACAGACCACAACTGATAAACTTTGGATGTGTGAATCAATATGATTGACTAAATTCTGACTTTTGCAATATCTGCAATAACCACATAATATAAAATACATTGAAGACTAAAGGGAGACAATCTACTGTATTAGGCCACAGACCACTTTGAATTATTCGATACTGCGTCCATTCAGTGTTAAAAAAAGCTATGAAGTTTAGTATGCCTACAATCTTACGGGATCAAAATTCGTATACACCGACTGTACATCAACACCGATAAGAAGTGGGCGTGGTATTTCTTAAAAAAACTTTGTTATAACCTGTCAGAGTGAGGAGTCAAGATTATGCTCAGTATGTCATTGGAATAGCACACTTGCATGTTAATGTTCTAGCATTTTATTGCATGGTCAAATCTACTTCTGAGCCAATTTTTAATTTTTTGCCTACCACACCACGTAGCTACAGTGCAGTGGATGAGTGGCGTTTCTGCGAGGGGTGTTGGGGATACGTACATTTGCGTTTCTTTACCCTTTAACAGGGGATAGTTATTTGTTTGATGTGCACTTGCAATTTGAGACCTACATTTAATCTGACTAGCTAGTCTAGGAAAAATCTGCCCCTATTCCATCCTCTGATGGATATTTTGACTGTTGTCAGCTGGGGTAGAGTCAGAAAAAAGACTGTAGTAAACAGGGACTTTTCACACCTCCAAAGATCTTTGCAAATATAGGTATCTAAATAGGTTTAACCACCTGTGTAGATGTGGAACGATCCCATTTAACTTGGCCTATTTTTTCTGTCTCTACGTACACCAGCTGAATATTATAATTTTATTTTCAATTTCAGAATATGGAGGATTTTCATGCCATTCAAGATAATCTAGAGAAGGCTATAGAGAAGGATGAGACAGCTAAAACTGCAGAGGCATCGAAAGGGAAGCAACCCCAGCCAGTCAAGCCAGATCAAACCATACGTGAACGTCTCCGAGGGATCATCGAATCCCACAATTTTCATATTGGTGTTGTTGTACTGGTCATTATTGATGCTTTGTTAGTAATTTCTGAGCTGCTCATAGACTTGGACATCGTGAAACTAGAAAACAAAGAACATCATGTGGCGCCCAAAGTGCTTCACGGTTTCAGTATATTTATTTTGTCCATATTTATGGTTGAAATCAGTATCAGAATCTATGTTTTGAGGTTGGAATTTTTTAAACGTAAATTAGAAGTATTTGATGCCTTGGTGGTTATTGTATCATTTATTTTGGATATCGTGTTCATTAATTCTGAAGGAACTAAGTCAGGTGTTGGTTTGTTGGTTATTTTACGTTTGTGGAGAGTGACACGTATCTTAAATGGTAAGTACATGGGGTGTGAAGGAAGCATCAAATTTCATACAAGGATAACAAGGATCCTGTCAACCAGTTGATCACTGAACAAACTGCTTGGCATTTTATGATTGCAATGAACAGTTTTTGAGCTATTTTGTTGATATTTTTTCAAATTGTTGTGAAGATAGAGGTAACGAAGTCAATATTTCCTTTCCCGATTATTACAATTACTGACTGCTATTGTTGAACTGTGTTGTTTTGCATAGCTAGATGGACACCAAAGCAGGCCTGTTGATTTATTATTTTGCTAATTCAATATTTTTCAACTATATGTGTAATCTGACACCAATTTTCTAGTAATGAGCATGTCTATTATATATTATATGGTGTCAATATAAACTCAAATTTGTGATTGCCATTTTACTTGTAGTTCTAGCACTCATTGTATTCACCATGCAAGAGATCCAGAGTATTGAAATGAATTGACATCTTTAGTAAGTGAGTGTGATTGATATTTTTTTCTTTGCAGGTATTGTAATGTCTGTTAAGGCTCAAGCTCAGATGAAAATTGACAAGGAAATAGAGAATAGGGAAGCTTGTGAAAAGGAAAATTTAAAACTAAAACAAGAAAACACTGACCAAACCAAGGAAATAGCAAGACTTAAAGAATTATTGGATCAGAATGGTGTGAAATATTCATAGATATGGTATATGTGGATTTGTGATTAAGGGGCCAACATACGTTTTGGTTTATGGGTCTTACTTCTTTTGCTGTCAACACCTCCACTGGGCATCTTTTTTTGAAATTCCAAATATTTCTATTAAAGGGTAAATTTAACTCACTGAAAGAAACAAAAATGTTATTTACAGTTTTACAAAACTATGTACAGGTTTGAAAGTTGAAAGTTATTTGGATTTAAAAGCAAATTAATAAAACACATTGAACAAAAGGTTAGAATAAACTCTGACATTATTTTCATCAAATGAAATTTGTTATTGTTCTATAACAGAAAACACAAGGGGAATATATTATGATGATGACGACATGTAAATTGTGTTGAAACTTTGTTGTATGTGTAACATGTGCTCTCAACTTTTAAATGTTGTTCAAATCTTATAATTACATCTATACACCAGAGGAATTGTTTTAGGTAGAGTTCACCCAATGTGTTAAAACCAATTTTTGAAAATAGGGAGCCTGGAAGTTGATGTTATTAATTTGATCCCTTACTCATATATATATATATCTCAAATGAACAAAAGAAAATTTTGTGTTAGGTTCCACTACTAGACTATACCATAAAATCCCACAAATAAAATCTGGAATTAAACTCAACAATTGTTTTCATAATTTATATCTTTGATAAATATACTTTGATATACACTATACTATAGCGATAATATTTAAAAATCTCATCATTACAGCTGAATGAATCAAAAATCTCAAAAGATATCATGTGTTTAGTTTATGTATTTATAATGTAATTGATAATTGATATGTAATAGTATTTTGTTTGTTTTTTTAAAAACATGTGGAGAGTGATGTTTTGTTGTTGTAAGTGCAATATTTTGAATATTTGAACATGCACCAGATTTAATATGCAAAACTATTTGTTATGGCATAATACTTCTTTAACTGAGATTAATATTTTATTTTTGTTTTGAATATTCTATAATGCCTAATACTATTATATATGTATTTGATTTTAATTCTGAGATTAATGAAATCAAAATATATTTTTATAAGTCTATTTATTGTGATATTTTGTAACAAAATTAATATTGTATTATTAAATGGAATATTTTGTTCATTATACATCGAAATATCAAATGAAGTCATGTGACTGATGATGATATTAGTGCATAGATTTTGAACTGTTAACTGATATTGAAATGAAAGAAAATGAAATGAATGGTGTTTTAAACCTTACTTTTCTGCACCATTTGGGCTAATGAAGACGATCTGGTGATTGAAGTTAAGCTCTTGTGAATGAATGATTAGTCAAGTTTTAATTTCAAAAATCAAAACTAAATGGTGGTTTGTGTAGGACTTTTTTAAATAATTATGATTTGAATTTGAATTAACCATTTTCCGACTCGGTTTTTGATTTATGATCTAATTCTATTTATTTTACGGTTTTGGTTTAAAAATTAAGAAAACTTTTTAGAAAAATGTCTTCAATGGACTCCAATATTTATTATTTATTGTTGATCATTATTAAAGGGACATTCCATTTTTTTAAACTTAAATTTGTGAAAACTATATAGCAAACCAAAATCTAGAGAACTTTGTCCCTTAACGTATCTTAAATTTGAAAATATCCAACCCTTTAATTTTTTAACGCCAAAACTATCTAAAAAGTTTATGTAAGTTTATGTGAACTTGTAAAGTTCATTATGCTGTATGAAAGTAAAATATTGTAGAGAAATATGTCTTCTACGTATTTTAAAGGTTTCAACTAATGATATCGAGCCATTATAAAGTCAGACACCACAACTAGTCCAAACTACTGAATAAATAATTAGTACTGTTTTTAATTTACTCTTTTAAAACAAATTCAGTTTGATCAAGTAGATACATAGATATGAATAGCATACATTAGAAATATTTTCAGGTACAATCTACAACATAATGGAAATGTTTTACATGAAAAGCGGAATGCCCCTTTAAGTTTATTTTTACACTAAAAATGTATTATTTAATGATATTAATAAAATATTTTGGACATTAAGTTTTCATTTATTCAAAACTGTTTACATAGTTTTATTTTCGATGGATATCTCCAAAAATCATCCATTTTGTGTAGGCAATATTCATGTACTAATAGATGTACCAAATTAAAATTATTAACTCTGGGTATTCTCTGAAAGTTGACAGACTCACTGGAGACTCAAAGTTTAAAATGATTTACATTCACAGGCTCATGCATTCAGTCTGAGAATGTCACTTTAAGCAAAAGTCTAAAATTAGAAAATCATGACTAAAATTAATCAATATGGGAAGACCTCAGGTGCAAGTAGTGGACCCCCCTTATTAGGGAAGTTGTGAGTATTAATTAGGTTGAAAAGTTATAAAGCTGTTAATTTCAACTCCCACTCATTAATTATCAGGTATCGTTAATTGGGACACATGGCCCATTATTTCAAGCTACATGGAACCATACCCAAAATCATAAAATTTAAACCAATTTACTATGCATCCTGTAATTTTGTCTTTGAAAACAGAATTGACAGATGCTACCAAATTAGTAACAGTTTTTTGGACTTGATGCCATGTTAACAAACCCAATCGCACCGCGGCATCAAATGTTCAACAGAAGGGTGACCACTGCCTTGTTGGCAGCAATTGCCATGTCATTAATTATAGAATATTAGGTCATCTATTAGTGGGTCACTTTTTAATCTGCGACAATTTTGTTGATCATTGTCTCTTTAACGCATCAAAACTATTACATATTTCTATCGTTTATTGATAAGGATTTGGGTTAAGCAATGATGGGTTGATGGCTTGCCAGTCTATCAATTAATATGTGATGACATCATTGAAGATATAAGCACTGGTGCAGGAAGGTGTTAGATTAAAAAACGTGACTTTTAATGGTGGTAGTTATTTATAAAGCTGTGATAATATTGATTATGGATGAGGGTTTATAAGATGCCAACTGATTCCTCCTCTATAACATCTGATCCTGGAAGACTCAGAAGAGGTTTATCTTATTACAGGACCTAGCTTTAGAGAGGTAAGATATCTATATTTTAAATAGTTTTCACAAATTTTCTTTTATAATTATTTCACTGAAAACTTAGTATTTATGTAATAAATAAGCCATGTACGTTTTTATTTATATCTAGGTATAACTTTTTTGCATGTGGTTTTCTTATTTTCCTTTTATTGGATGAGATAAACCATGTAATTTATAGACTGCCTCTGTCCTATGATGATTTTCAGATGCTATTTTGAAAGGATTTATCAAATTTGTATAAAAAATGATGCTCTTTTAATATTTTATAATGAGATATAATGAATTTTAAATTTATTAACTTTAAATTTCAGATGTTAGCTAGAAATTATCAATTGATACGGAAATCTAGAAGTTTCGTTAAAATGTTCAGTTCCGGAGAGTAAGTGCATTTTTATCAGTGGCAAATCTATCTCAAATTTGATGCAATAAAAATATATGGAAAAATACAGTTCCTGTAGAAAATTAAAAGGTATCAAGTCTGTTACATTTTATGCAAATTTTCTACAAAAATTGTGAGAAAACAAAAAGAATAGACAAGAACCCTTTTTTAAAGTTGGCTGACCATATTTTAAGACAAGTCTTTGTAGAAATATATATAGAATTATAAAAACCCTTTACTTAAGTTTTTTTTAAAACAAACTCAGTGTGATCTGGTTTCTTGAGATGGTCCAAAGACATTTGAATTTATTTTTAATGATTACAGAGTGTTATTACCAGAGAAGAAAGAGGTGGTAGTTATAACTGGTGGTTCAGGGTTTCTAGGACAACATATTATACGGGAAATACAACAACATTCAGCTAATATCAGTGAAATACGTATACTAGATATTAAACCTCCTGGTAAATTCATGGGTATGTATATTTTTGGTTTTTTGTTTAAACTGTAAAAAAGTGCTCACATTGTTTCACTTCACCGGTGACTGTCAATCATTAAGTGGGTGTGTCGTAAAGTTTTCAGCATTTATTGGGTCATTATGATATCAGGTATGGTCAGATTGAAGAATAATCAATGGTTCTGTAAATATTGTGTATACATGCTTGAGCACTATATTCATAATTATACAGTATACGACTATCTATCTATTACAGACTATGAAGACTTTATACCTATTAAAACAATACTGTCCAGTATCAACAACTTGGCATCAGTGTGCCAGGCACTACGTGGTGCTGATAGTGTTATACATGTTGCAGGATTAATCAGTTATGGTACCTTCCCTGATTTTACCAATATGGAAAAAATAAACGTTGAAGGTAAGGTTAACAAATTTTGTGCAAAACTTCCAGTTCCAGAAATCATTAGTCGAGCAATTTCTATGATAAAACATTGTATTATTCTGTCAAAAAAAAGGCAACTTACTAGTAATCTAGTGAAAAGGCTTAAAGAAAAATGAGTTAATGTTATCAGGGAGAGTTACTCGATGCCATCCTCTGAATAGGTTAATCTTCTGTATAGGTCGATGACGTAATAATTTATAATATGGTTTTCTATTAGGTACCAAAACAGTAATAGAAGCCTGTGTAAAAGAAAATATAGAACGCCTACTATTCTGTAGCACAGTGGATGTAGTTATAGGGCATCAAGATATTCTTGACGGTAATGAAGAGACTAGTATACCCAAGACTTTCCTATTTCCTGGTTATCCAGACACAAAATATAGAGCTGAAAAGTTAATCTTGGCTGCTAATGGAACAAAATTGTCAACAGGTAACTAAAACTTTGTTTGCTTGTCTTGAGTGATTGGATTATTTTAATAAAAAAAGCCTACACTTTTTGCTCCTTCTTGATATTATCAGTGACAAGAACACCACCTTCTCCAAGAATAAGAATTCAGTGTGGAAAATTATTATTTAAATGTCTTTCATCGACTATTATTAAAGGGGTTACATCAACTTCCACCATTTCAATCTCTGTTCTTTTGAGATGGTGACATCATGAAATGCTTAGCTTTATTGGAATTGCAAGAACAACAGATGTCTGACTGAAAGTCGAAATGGTGCAAATCAGTGTCCCTATACAACACTTATAAATCCTCTTAAGAAGCCCTTAAAGATTCAACATTTTTTTATTATGATCTCTTTTTCTAGGTAAACAGCTTCATACAATATCACTTCGACCCAATGTCATGTATGGAGAAGGAGATCCTTATTATGTTTCTACAGCTCTTCAAAACGCTGACCAAAATAAGGGTGTATTAATACGTGTGGGGAATGGGACTGCTTTGTTTCAACAATCTTATGCTGGTAATGTGGCTTGGGCATTTTTGTGTGCTGACACCGCCTTAAGAAATAATCCCTCACAAGTTTCAGGACAGGTGTTCTTCGTACCAGACAACACGCCCCTTCAAAATTCATTCCTGTTTATGAACTATTTCCTGACATTACGGAACCAACGTTTATCGTCTTTCTACTTACCATGGAGACATGTGTACGTCACGTTATATTGGTTAGAATTAGTGCTCAAGGCATTATCTCCCTTAATGAAACTCTCCTTACCGGCCCAGTCGTGTAGCGTTAAGTATATTAACATGAATTTATATTTTAGTTCATATAAATCACGACAGTTACTAGGCTATAAACCATTTTATACACCACAAGAATCTATAGAAAAATCATCTTTATATTATAAACACTACAAAAAATAAAATTATATTTTCATAAAAAATGTCTTCCTCTGTTATTGGGTATTTTTTGCCATAGCATGTATCCCCTGAAAAGAACAAATATCACTGCATAGAGCCCCTATGATCTCCATCTAGAATATAATTGTATCACATTATCATTAAATATATTGGTTGTACAGAATAAGGTCCACTGGCAGCAAATCCCAGCAGTTAGGAACTTACTGGTGTTTGTATAGGAATAAGCACAGGCTTACAAATAAACCACAACCCTTTAAAAAAAGAATATCTCCCTTTTCCAATGACTCTTCCAGAATTTCAACTTGGGAGAAGTTGTTGTTTTAAAGTTGGTGATATCACAAATGGTTTATCATAGAATTTTGTATGTAAATTTGGTAATTCTTTGATTCGGAATAACTCCTCGCAGGGGTCTGTTATTTTCTCTACATTCATTGTTAAAGAAATTCAAAAGTTACAAGTTAAGATTAGAACCAATGACATATCCAAGCAAATGATGTCATTTAAAGATTTCAACACTAACCAACTTTGCTACAAACTGTCCTCAAAAGAGGATCTTTAGATGACTATATCCACATAGTTGCATTATTTCTATCAAAGGATACTGGTATATGTAGACACAATTTCTCTCATGTTCTTAAAAACTTTTACTTTCCCACATACTTGTATACAGTCACCTAGTTCATAAACAACAGGAACACTGAGTTCATCTAGCTTCTTCACCAACAAACCTGGTAGTTTATATTTACCATATTGTTGTCTCTCAATATCTGGAGAGAAAATTAAAACCTCAACACATCGTTGACATACCTTTTTCGATTAATCTGGTCTTCAAAAAAGTGGTTGGGTGATGTGAAGAAAACCTTCTAATTGATATTTCTTTCAGATATTTGTCTAACTAAGCTTGTATAAAAGATATGATTGTGTACAGAAGAACAAATTATTGTTTACCTAACTGGTTATTCCAGACTACACATGTGATCACACCAGTGCCATCATCAACTAATAATAGAAGAAACTAAGACCATAAATAACATATTATGCATGCTATTTTGCATTTTTTCAGACCATAAAAAAGATAGCACCACAATTAGAGCAATTTGAGCAATTAGGACATCTTCTGATTGAGTGACTCCAAAGGGTGTTTACATACATTCATGCACTTTATATGGATTGAAAATCATTCACAATGCATAATGAGGGGTATATTTAAATGACCAAGATATTTTGATTACCATTACCTATGTAAGTGTGACATTTGGTCCGTTCATCCATCCCTACCACAATTCCAGTTATATCAACCTTCTGAAATGGGTGATTTCTATAAGCAAATACACCTGGAAATAGATAAAAAAAACACATCATTAAGATCCAGGAATATCTTAATTAAGAGAGGGTGTAACTGTGGAACTAACAAAACAAAAACTATTGAAAGTCATTTTGGAGATTTTTCAATTATCAATCTTGAGGCCGATGTTGCAGGCAATGTTGGGCATGCCCAACCTTACAGAACTCTTATGCCACTCTGGAACTGAGTTTATAACCTCCACATTCCTTTCACAAAGTCCACTCAGCTAATTTGGGATATTCGTTACCATTTACTCACCTAGATAAGGATTGTTATAAGGAGCAGCAAGTATTTCAGAGATATACAATTTTAAACAGGACTTAAAATGATGATCAAGTCCCCATAATTCCTTTACTGGAAAATCATCATTTTCGTCTTCATCTACAATCATTGCTTCGGCCATTTTTCTTTCTTTCTGTCTTTAAAATTGTTTTACTCCATAATAATTTAACAATTGATGGTTCAAAGATAAATGGTTTTGAATCTGCTATGAAATTCAGTGTGTTAACAGCTAAAATATAAAAGAGCACTTCAATCTATTCACAGACTGAAGCATATAAAGTTAACTTCTATGCACTTCTGTTATCTGTCAACTCATATTAATATCTGTTCAGGCGTAAACAATGTTTATTAAATATGCAATGTTACATAGATGAAAAACAATAGAGTAACTCCAATTCAAAGATCCCTCTTACCCCTTACATTTTGAATCTACACCGTTAGTCGAGATTGTCACATAACCAATTTACTGCAAGTCTGACATTCAAGACTACTAGTGCTACCGGATGTTGACAAAATAGAAAACATGGCTGCCAAAAGTGATAAGAAAGTGATTGTTGTGAGCAAAACGTCTGATTTACAACGATTGAAGCTAGAGAAATTGATGAAAAATCCTGTAAGAGATTCAAGAGTCTTTTTCGTTTCGTTTTTGCTTCTTTTGAATGTCGTTTGATTATGATTTATGCAGATTATTACTAAATCAAAGGATCCTTTTCATGATTAGGCACCAACCCACATTTAATTTGTCCATCTTGGCATCTACTAATATTATTGTTCCGGTCGCGATATATTATATCTCATAGGATATCTATGGTACCGGTAATCCAAATTATGAGGATAGTGGTTTCATAGACATAATATAGCAAATATTGATTAACAAGGAAAGCCAATATTATCTTTTGTTGGCCTATGCAGTGCCACACTAATTGTTGATATCACTATTGGCTTAGCTATAAAAAATGAAAAGGATGATTAATTTTGCAGGATAAAGAGGTATTTATTCCTGAGAAATCTAAAGATCCTTCAGCTAAAAAAGCACCAGAATTTATACGGAATGTTTGGGGTAAGATTAATATCTAAAGACATTCAAGATTTGAAGAAAAACAAAAAATTTTTTTCCTCAAACATAACTACCATTATCTTGGATTAAATCTGATAAAGCTTGAGAAAGGGCTGATTTAATGTATATATATTATTATAATATACTGATGGTCTTTATTAGGGTCCAGTGCTGGAGCTGGAAGTGGTGATTTTCATGTTTATAGAGGAGTTCGGAGAAGAGAATATGCCCGACAGAAATTTAATAATGAAAAAGCTAAAAGGGTATGAAGTCAATTATTTTTATGTTTTGTCAAATTTGATATACTTAGTTGATCCACTTAATACAGAATTTTGTGTTGATACTAAATTGTTAGTCTGAATTCAAGTGGATATCTAATTTAGCCATTAGAATGTCTTCTCTCATTGTGTGGATATCAGAGTTAACCGTTAAAATGGAATGTTTCAGTTCAACAATTTTTTTCCCCAAAGAAGGTCTGCCTCCTAAGGATCCACTTAAAAATATAGAAACAATTTTGTAGGAAGAGTTAGATGAAGAATTCAAAGCAAAAGTTTCTAAGATAAAGGAGACGGAAGAAACTAAGGCTGCCAAGAAAAGAGCCAAGAGGTAATGCAATGGGGAATTTTTAGAAATACAGGTAGAAAGCAAAGATACATCGACATTTAGTAATCTGTCCTTGTTTATGTCTTAAATGCACACAAGATGTGCATAGAAATCCTGGCACTTTGTATATGTTTTAAGAACAACTTCATACTTTTTAACTGATGTGTGTATCTTGCAGATAGAGTTCTATTAATGGTACATAAATAAATTCGAACAGGTTAATGTATCAAAATTCACTACTCTATATCAGTGTATGTTAAATTATTGTAAGTGAAAATTGAAAAAAAAATTGAAAAAAAAAAAGTTATTTTTTGAAGTGTTAAAAGATTACATAATCAGATTAATGCAATCATAATTATTTCTTGTGAACAGAAACAGCAAGTTCTGTACAGTCTTGTGAATCTTATTCTCAGTTTTTATATATCATTTAGAATTTTATTTTAGATTAAAAAAGAAACAAAGACAGAAAGATGCTAAGAAAAGGAAGAAGGAGGGAAAAGAAGGTAATATACCCTAGAGCTTTGTTCACTAGGTTGACACTAGACCAACCTGAAAGACCTATTTTCTTTGATAAAGGAATTTAACTAGTCTATATTTACAAGATTGTTTTCTTGGAGCTCTAAATGATGAGGAATTATATTTTGATATTAAATACTATGAACTCTTGTTTGCATTTTCCATCTGGTGCAAATTCCCACTGTATGATAAGGGTAAAATGTATTCTTTCTAGGGTAAATTAAAAGTAATGAACAGGGTTTCATTAAAGTTGTCTTTTTTCAGAAGATTCTGAGTCAGAAGAAGAAGAGGAGGAGGAAGAAGAAGAAGAAAATGAAGAAGAGAAAAACCAAGATACTCGAAATCATCCAGATCAAGACTCACAAAATGTTGAAAATGTTAAAACAGAAAATGACTGTTCAGATAAAAAGACAATCAGTGAAACAGAAAATAGTCATAATACTTGATGAATTATATCTCTACAATGTTTCTTGAAAAAAAAAAAAGGTGCAACATATTATTAACTCTGAAATTTGTGATCTTCAGGAAGACAAAAAAGTGATTTCATGTTTACATAGTATTAAGAATTATCATGCATTTATGAGAAAAAAAGGTCATCATTAATAATGCCTCTCTCCATTAAAAAATATCATCTTATACAATAATAGCTGAGCTGCATGTTAGTGTATGTTACGTGAAAATTTGTTTTTAAAATATCATCATGTAAGCAAAAATGAAATCATGAAGCAAATTGATAGTTATTATTTTTGTTTCCCATCAGTTCATTAAAAAATTAGATGTTCAGTAGAGAAGAAGGATTGTCTGCAAGATCTAAGTTGCTGATGCGTCAGATTCCATGGCTGGTGGTTTCGATAATACAGATGTTTACCCTTTATCCCATCCCTACTAGCTTCTAGGATCTTGGACCTAAATCAACGACACAATCAGGATCAAGGTAACTGTTCTCATCTGACTTGAGCCTGAAATGAAATGTATTTTGCAGGAAAAGGTTTTCTTGAGTCATGATGCAAGACAATAATACATACAAAACAACAACAAAATGATGAAACTACACAATTTGTCTTTATTATCAAAATTTTAATTATTTGAACCATAGCACTATCATACCAACAAGTAGATATTCACATTAATGCATGTTTCCATGAGACTCGAGACATGGCAAGCTGCTAACTGGATTATTGTAATGATTGGGAAATTTTCTTAATACTTCAGTACCACATGTAAATTTACAGCAAATGCGTTAAAATCAATTCACTCTTAAAGCAAACTTCTCAATTTCACAGGAAATTTTCCAATACACCACCTTTTAGTTCATGGAGCAAAATTCACAAGTTCCCATGTAAAAAATTAAATTCTCTATTTTAAGCTCAATTATTACTTATCTTTTAACAAATATTTTTCCTACTTTGCAAACGAAGAAGCCAACAGTTCACACAAATGTACTAACAATCGATTTTAAAGTGTTTGTAAAGAGGTTTTCTAATCTTTTAGTGTGTATCATAGCATTGTAATTTTCAGTCTGATGTCTATGGTTTTTGCATTTTATGATGTTTGTATTGCATTGGCTCCAAAATATAGCAGATTTCACAAAACTATTGGTTGTAGAAATTGTAGTGGGATTACGAAAACCTAGGATGTCTGACTGAAAACTGAAATGCTCCAATACACATGTGAACGTTTATTAATTTTCTGTAAGCTTATACTTAAGTCAAATAAATTTCTTTACATAGAAAAAGTGATTTACTCCCACACTCACATATAATCGACACAATAAGACGAACAAATGTCATGTGACTTCCAATCATCAGTAATAATCATTTTAACCCACCCAGGTCCCCTGTTTCTCAAAAAAATTTGCTGTCAATTTCTGTTGTAAGCGTGGTACTTCTCCATGTAAATTTGCAACAGAATTTCATATGAAACAGGAATCTAGGATACTTGAATTGTCACTTAAAATCCTTGTTGTTCCTCTTCTCTAGCTTTTCTTTTTAACTTTTTCTCCTTTTGATAAGTCTTTTTTTCCACTTCAAGTTCATTTACATTGTAATCTGGCAAAATTTTCGAAACAACTCCATATCCAATGGTTCCTTGACCATCTCTAATAGTAAATCTTTGGCCTTCCTCTACTGCCATTTTTTTAAACAAGTTCAGATTAACTGTTGTGCTTTCTCCTGGCATGATCATTTTTTTGTCATCAATTTTCAACAATGTTGCACAATCCCAGGTCCAACTGAACATATGGAATTGAAAAAAGCTTGTGATAGGCTTTGCTTTTTTGCCACCTTCTTCTTTTGAAATAAGATAAATCTTGGCCTCCATATTATTTCTCAGTTTGGTAGTTCCTGGCTTGGCTACTATGGACCCTCTTCTAATATCCTCACGTTTAACATTTCTAATCAAAGCTCCAAGTTGATCCCCAGCCTCTGCTCGATCCAAGTTTTTATGGAACATTTCAATTCCAGTGATAGTGGTTTTTAGCACTTTATCGTGACCCACGATTTCACACTCATCTCCTTTCTTTAAAATTCCTCGTTCCACTTTTCCTGTCACCACTGTCCCTCGACCAGGAATGGAAAGTACAGATTCAACAGGAACAAAAAATGGCTTCTCTAAATCTCGGACTGGAGTAGGCATATATGAGTCAACAGCTTCTAACAACTCCTTGACCTTCTTTGTTCCATTTTCATCCCCATTCAATGCAGTCAAGGCAGAACCACATATTATTGGAGTCCCGTCTCCATCAAATCCAAATTCAGTCAGCAGTTCTCTGATTTCCATGTCTACCAATTCTATCATCTCGGCATCGGCCACGTCAGCTTTGTTGATGAAAACAACCAATTTCTTGATACCAATTTGTTTTGCTAATAGAAGATGTTCTCTGGTTTGAGGCATGGTTCCATCAGTTGCAGCAACCACTAAAATGGCACCATCCATTTGCGCTGTTCCTGTTATCATGTTTTTGATGTAATCCTGATGTCCAGGGCAATCCACGTGACCATAGTGACGATTCTCAGTTTCATATTCAATAGTGGCTGCATTAATGGTGATTCCTCTAGCTTTCTCTTCTGGAGCCTTGTCAATATCTTCATATTTACTGAATTTGGCTTTGTTTTCTAGTGACAGTACTTTTGTTATTGCAGCGGTCAAGGTTGTTTTACCGTGATCCACGTGCCCTATAGTTCCTATGTTCATGTGTGGCTTTTCTCTCGTGTATGTCTTTTTTTGTGCAACAGGTTGGGCAGCATATCTGAAACTTTTAGAAAACTGTCTCTCCGATAGATGCGAGGGTCGCTGGAAGGCAAATAACCTTGATTTGTAAGAGTTAGATAGAACTCGGTGTATGCAAGTCGCCATCTTGATAAGTTTGGACTCAGACCACAAGTTATGTAAAACATCAAGGGTGTGACTAAGTATCAAAATGTGTACAGTTTAGAAAATGATTCAGAATTTCAACATTTGGTCTGTGGAATCCGTTTCCTATTTGTCGTGTTTGTGTTTGCAGCTATGACGGGTGTGGCGGCAGGCAGGGTATGCTTAGGCCTAATTTCTAGACACCTGATACAACCCTTTAAATCAGCACTGATAAACGTCAATACCCACGTGATATCAAAACGTCATTTCTAATAATAGTAGGTTAAAAATACCAATATATGTCAGAAGTGGGCGTGGCAAATTGCTCACCGGTAATCAATAAGGTAAATCGGCATTAAGGAACTTAATTTCTACACTTTTACACCTTGTCAGCAGAATTCAACGTAAGTTATCTCAATTTTGTAAGAGCTTAATAACTTTTATATATTGCGAAATACTCGTAGACCGTAGACGTGGGGCAATGGGTGTGCTTGTTGTTATATTATACTATGCCTTCGTAAAGAAGCTAGCAATGGCTAAGATCATTAGTGTAGAAAGTTAGTGTTCCTCAATTTCCATTTCCAACGATGCAATGGGTGTGCTGAAGATATTGACATAAGCGTGCAGACAAACTTTTTCTTTATTTAAAAAACACATTACCCAGGTTTTAAACAAATCTACCCTTGAAGAATTTTGGGGCACGCCCACACTTCTTTTCATAAAAATAGGCCAAATATAATTGCCTTAGATAAGGAAACTCTGAGCTATGTATACTATGTACATATACCATTACATTAAAAGTACGTTAGAGATATTGATTAAAGCGGACCTAGTCACGCTCTACATCTGTTTACGTCTTTTGCAAAATATTTTCAGTTATAGTTATTAGAACAACACAAGCGATAGAAACTCTGAATTTCTTCATTACGCATATCAAACGATCTCGAGTTCAAAATTGACGAAATTTCGATGAACGATGTTTGTGTAACCTATCCTTGATTTAGATCAGGGGTCAAAGATCATTTTGATGTTAAACAGAAGTATCGGGAGATAAAAATTTATTTGACTGAGTCGGAAGTTGACGATATTTCGATGAATGCTTGTGGGTTCTTGCCACTGGCGTACTAAGACAACTTTATTTCTAGACTTTACGCCTAATTATTACTGCTAATTTAGTTTTGACCTCACAATTGTTTTATCAACGGTCAATATTTTAATTATAAATGTTTATTTGTAGCCATGGAGATTAGGTCTGATACAGATTATTCGGATTAACTATGCTCAGGGTCAACCAAAGATTAATATCATTAGCCATCATTTAGCCTGCAAGATTATAAATTCTCTCTAAATAGTTATTATGATGAATGTAATAATTATCTAAAATAAATAATTTTAAGTTTTTCCCTTAATCTTAACGTTACAGTTATGTGACTCTTAAATTCCCCCCCCCCCCCCCC